CTGTAAAATGAGGATAAAAATAACACCCACCTTGTAGGGTTGTTGTGAGGACCACATGAGATAACACACATAAAGCAGGTCACAAATCGCTACACAGTGCTGTTATTGTTGTTATCATCATCGTTGTGGTTGTCATAGTCGTTGCTATGTGCTTTGACTGGGGAAGGAAAGCAACCTAGTTAATCCTTTTCAAAGATAGGGCTCTCTTGCCTTCTAACCCCTAGCAAATAATAATAATAATAATAATAATAATAACTAGCATTTTAAGTGCATTATTATGGGAAAGCACTTTATAAATATCTTATTTGATCTTCACAACAACCATGGGAGGTAGATATTGTTATATCTCCCATTTTATAGATGAGGAAACTGAGTTAGAGTAAGGTTCAATGACTTACCTAGGGTCACACAGCTAGAAGATATCTGAGGCCAGATTTGAACTCAAGTCTTCTTGACTCCAAGAGCACTTAGGTGGCACAGTGGCTAGATTGCCAGGCCTAGAGGCAGGAAAACTCATCTTCCTCAATTCAGATTTGGCCTCAGACACTTTCTAGCTGTGTAACCCTGGGCAAGTCACTTAACTCTATTTGCGTCAGTTATCTCATCTGTAAAATGAGCTGGAGAAGAAAATGGCAAACCATTCCAGTACCTTTGCCAAGAAAACTCCAAATGAGGTCACAAAGAGTCAGACATGACTGAAAATGACTGAGCAGCAACTTGACTTGACTCCAGGTTTGGTCTTCTATGCGTACTGCCTAAGGCAGCTGTTCCTGGCTGTCTAGATCTTGGAGGTATAGGTATTCTGGGGTAGCTCAAGCAAGTTCTCTTCACCTTAAGAGGCAGCTGGGCTTTCTCAAATAGATTCGTTACTTGAGGAAGCAAGCCACAAAATTCACTTGTAAATGAAATGACTATGAATCAGTCAAGGAGTTCCAGGGATGTATGTTTGAATGGCACATTAATGACCAAAAAAGTACCCAGAATAGAAAAGCCCAGGGAACAAAGATAAACTGACAATGACCCTCCTATTCTAGGTATAGGGATGTGTCTGTCATGTAGCAACCCAACCAGAGAGAAAAAGTCAAGCAGTTCTAAGCAGGAAGAAATATTGGGAGTAGGAAAAAAAAAACCCACCTACAACAGCCATGGCTGTTCACTGTCCTCTAAATCCTACCTCAGACATGTGCTACCTGTGTGACCTTGGACAAGTAATTTATCCTCTGAAGGTCTTGGATTCCTCAATCTGCAAAATGGTGGGCCTGGTCAAATAGCTGTTGAGGATGTTATCATCATCGTTGTGGTCATCATAGTCTTTGAAAGCAGCCTGGTCAATCCTTCTCAAAGATAGGGCTCTCCTGCCTTCTAACCCCTAGCAAATAATAATAATAATAATAATAATAATAATAACAATAACAATAACAATAATAACTAGCATTTAAAGTGCATTATAAGATTCTTTCTAGCACTAGATCTTTGATTCCCCTATGACCTTTTTGGTGAGCAGCCTTCTCCCTTTTTTGTACTTCAATTGATAATGATAATCAGAGCATAGTTAAAGGAAGCTATCTCTATGGTTCCATCTATTAAGGAAACTCGAATTGTCTTTACCTAATCATGTGAGATGCCTCATTGCCTCAGGCTGTATTTTTGCCTTACTCAGTCAAGCACTGTTGTTGTTGTTGTTTTAAATAACAAATCAAAAATGGAATCAAAATCCCAGGTAACTAATGGGCAATGGAAAAATGTCTGGTGAGGCTGATTAGATTGCAGTATACAATAAATGAGGATTCCCATGCAAGAAGTGGTGGGAAAAGTATCGTCTGGGAAATGAATGCTCTGAAAAGGGGGCAGGCCAGTCACATAAAAAAGAGGAAGGATAAGAGATCTAATGTACTAGCACCTACAGAATGCCAAAAGACCTAGAAGAAGGCATCCATTATGTTGGGTAGATTCTCTAAAGAGCTTTTTTTTTTAAATGAATAAGGGTGAGCAAGTCTCATTGGGTTACAATATAATCTGATGGAGGGACAGCTTAAATTACAAATTCGTTGAAGTTGAATTTGACTTTCTACTAACATTGTAACCTGAACAAAGGTAAGTGAACAATCACATGAACTACCTGATTAGGCTTCATCAGTGGCGTAGATGCCTGCTACCACTCTATTCCTTTTAACACATGATTTTATTGGTGGGGGTCACTCCTTCATCAATATGAATTGCCACCCCTCACTAGTTAGAACAGTAGTTCTCAAATTTTTTGTTCTTAGGACTCTTTACACTCTTAAAAACTACTGAAGACCCCTCCAAAGAGCTTTTGTTTAGGTGAATGTTATCTATCATCATTTACCATATTAGAAATTAAAGCATTTAACTATTATTATGAAAATAGTTTTGATTTTATAGACTCTCTGAAAGGATCTTCAGGACCCTCAAGGAACCCTAGATTACACTTTAAGAATCTCTGATTTTTCTTTTTCTTTTTCAAGCAATTGGGGTTAAGTGACTTGCCCAGGATCACACAGCTAGTAAGTGTCAAGTGTTTGGTCTGAGGCTGGATTTGAACTCAGCTCCTCCTGACTTCAGGGCCGGTGCTCTATCCACTGCACCACTAGCTGCCCCTAAGAAGCTCTGATTCAAAGGGTCTTCAAGAGTTGCAATAAACTCTGCTTAGAATTTAGAGTCTTTGAAACCATGCCTGGGATACACTTTCTTGTCTTAGAATCAGTTTCCTTTACGGGCCAACTCAAGCTCTACCTCTTTCTACAGAAAGCCTTTCCTGATGTCCTCAGCCGATAATTCTTTCCCCTCAAAATTACCTTGTATCTACTGTTCATATTCAGAAGAAGTGATGCAAGGACGTTCTCAAGGTCTCTCTGAAGAACTCTGGAATTGATTGTGTGACATGGGGGAGACTGACCCAGCACCATCCAGCATGGCGGACCTGCGTCAAAGAAGGCAGTGTGCTCTATGAGGGAAGAAGAATTGCAACGGCTTAAGAGAAATGTGAGATGCACAAATTTAGAGACATCTCCACCACAAACTTTCACGCGGTCTGTTTGTGCCCAGCCTGTGGGAAAGCTTTCTGAGCTCACATCGGACTGATCAGCCACAGTCGGACACGCTATACCTTCACCTCAACATAGTGATGTCATTTTGGTCCTCTTCAAGCACATATGTACTTGTTGTCTCCCCTAGATGGATGGTAAGCTACTTCAGGATAGGGCTGCTTTCCCCCTTCTTTGTATTCCCAATGCCTAGTACAGCGCCTGGCACGTAGTAAGTTCTTAATATATGCGTACTTATATGATTGGCTGAAAAATTCTTCAGCCTGGAGATGAACCTCATTAAGCCTGCCTTGGTTGGTCCTAGAAGAGGTGGTGCAGTGGATGGTGCTGGGTTTGAAGTTAGGAAGATAGGAGTTCAAATCAGGCCTCAGACGCTAGCTATGTGTCCCTGGGCAAGTCACTTAACTTCTGTTTGTCTCTGTTTCCCTAGCTATAAAATGGGGATATAGTAACACCTATCTCCCAGAATTGTTGTAAGGATTAAAGGAGATAATATTTGTAAAGTGATTAGAATCATTCCTGGCACATAGTAGGCACTAAAATGCCTGTTTCCTTCATCAGACAGCAAACATACAGGCCATCCTGGGAAACGAATGCATAATTTTCTACTCTTCACTTCAGTGAAGTTCTACTTACATTTAAATAACTCTAGTGGATATGGAATTATTTTGGAGTACTGTTTGCATAGAGCTTAAATACATTCAAGACTTTCAACCCTGTTGGACCTACCAGAGCTTGTGTTCTTCTGACACAGGCTTCAGAAAATCAGGTGGTTTTTCACACTGTAAGGAGGCATCAGAGCAGGACTTTATTTTCTCCTCTAAATGTATATACACTTACACAGTCGCATTGTCACGTAGACTGAGGGACTTGAAGGCTATATTCCAGAGCTTTTTTGCCCTACATCCTTGAGCTTCTTTTGACCTTCCTAAGCTTCACTTCACTCATCTGTAAAATGGGTAAAATTAGCTACTCTACCTATTCTTCTCAGAGTTGTTGTGAGGACCTGAGTTCATATATGTGAAAGAGTTTCTGAACTGCAAATTCCTTTTTGAATGTAATGGATCACTATTAGTTAAAAGTAGGACTGAACTTCACTAGTTCTCCATCTGCTGCTATGGCAACTTTCTCGTTGGAGCACAATAAGCCAATTCAGTTTTTTTAAGGAATATAATTGAGCTACTGTAGCTTTGGTTTAGTATTTAATCCATGCTGAAAAACATCACTTGACTATGTCAGAGCTATGTTTTTCATTGATGTGGGTATTCCCTCCATTAAGACCTCTATAAGAATTAGCACAGTTGTTGTTATTGTTGTTTTTTTTTTTTGAACCTCGAGGACCAATGACATCACCATGGTGATGTCTTGACTTGCAAGTGAATTGGATTTGAGTGTAGAAAGAGAAACAGTCTTGGAATCAGAAGATCTGTGTTCAAGTCTGTCTCTCACCCATATCATAGGTGTCTGACCCTGTGCAAGTCTATTATTAAGCCCATAGTGCCTCTGGCTTCTCTAAGGCTCTCAATTATAGATCAGTTGTCTATCTGACTGGGTGGGTAAACTTCACATGGAGAGTTCCCCAAGAAGAAATCATGGATTAACCCATATAAAATCATCCAGTGCTTCTCCACCTTACGTAATTCATGAATTGTGGTCACTAAACATAGCCATTGCCCATTGGTGAATCTTTTGATTATAAGTCTTTCCAAAATTAGGTAGGTGGGGTTCTAAGAACATAGTTTGTTCCTGCTATAAATATAAAGTCTTTTCAAATGTGAGCGTAGCCTTTAGGGATGAGGGTCAACTCTATGCCACAAGGAGGCCCCATAGGAGGTCTCCAGTGGAGATGGGAACCACTAATTCTGACAGCAACAAACATGTACTATCTAACAATAAAAAAATTATTTATTAGTAAAAAAAAATGAAAATGTGTTATACAGGAGAGTAAAACAAATAAGTGAAAGTTTTTCTTTAAGGAATCTTAACTGTAAGTGTACAAGGCGAGAATAGGGCTATGGCAGGATTAAGCGGGCTTATTATCAATGACTAAGTTAACAGGATATTAAAAAAAATTAAAAAAAATTGTAGAGAAGGTGTAAACTGTGCTCTGTGACATTCATTCCTAGACGGCATTTTTTGAAGTGTTACCTAACTTGAGGAGCAAAATATACACATACAATACTCCAAAGAAATCCCATTCCCACTAACTGTAGCAGATGTCACAATCTGCTTCTCTTCTATAGAAATCATCAGCCACAGCTGTCGGCAGGGAATGGGAATAGTCTATACAGTCTGTATCTGGATACGAGAAGTACTCTGATACTTTGATGGTGTCCAGGTGCTGCGTCTCACACGATGTGCAGTAACAGACAGAAGAAGAGGAGGAAGAGGTGTAACAGCTGTATCGGGGGTGAGAGTGGAAATGATGGTATGAGTACTCTTCTGGGGGGTGCCCATAGTCCCTGGTGTCCAGGGAGGAGGGACAGCTGTAAGTCACTGGAGTCAATGATGGCTGCTGAGGTGGGGAGTAACTGTATTCCAGAGGGCTGGACAAAGCTGACGAATCTGAGGGTGATCCTGGTGCCTGAAAAAATATAAGAGCCCAAGGAACAAAACGCTTTTTAACTTAGCCACTATGAGATTGACCACAGTGGGCTTTATATAGCTCAGAAAACAAAAAAAATCGGGGAAAGGGAGGGAGGGTATAAAAATCACAAAAAATAATTTTCCTTGTTAACTATATACTTTCATTACATCATATTCTAAATTTATTTGTTCCACTCCTGACAAGGAATTGGTTTCCAGATAACTTCTGCTTCACTGGCTTCCTTTGTTATGACCATGTTTCATGTGACACTTTGTTCTTTAACCACAAACCCCCATCATGTTTCAGTTCACCTGCAGAATGAAGTATCAGTTCTGCCAGGCAGTGAGTTGCATATACTGCTGATGGCTTCCTGGATATTCCGAAATACTTGATGCACAGAGAGTGCCATTTCCCTGACCAGTCATCTTTCAAACTCCTGGGGATTAGATGACAGATACAATGGCCTCTTGGGAGGGGGTAGTATTTAGCTCCCCCTCAGCAAATGCTCAGAGAAAACCAAAAATTGCCAAGCACATCCGAGCTCAGCCAAAAGCTTGGCCCTCAGTGGCTATGAAAAAAGGATCTTCAGAAGATTAACAGGCTGTCTACAGTTTGTTATCAACAGCTTTCCAAAATGGAAGGTGACAGATAACATGTTTTTCCAGTTCCTGGAGAGATCACGCAAACTCAATACAATTCAGTTGCTATTTCCCTTATAATTCAATATGAATTTCAGGATTACACAGAACTTCAAGTTCCCATGGCCAATATTTTGGTTTCAATTCTTGAAATAGTAACTGTTTCTTTTTTTTTTTTTAACTGAAGAACATTTCAAAAAGAATCCAAAAGCCTGAGATAAGGATTTCTCACTCTATTTTGAAGCTGATTATATTTACTACCTGTGTGACCTCAGTTTCTTCATAGGTGAAAGGATAGGCTGGATTAGATGACTTCTAAGGTATTCTCCAGCTCTAAACCTATGATCCTATAGCTCTATACCCAGGTTACAAACACCAAATCTTAAAACATCAGATATCCCATAAGTCATAGAAGCCCAACCAAAATCTCATTATTCTCACTACTAGTCTTTCCAGAATTAAATCAGCTCCCATGAGAGTTGCTGAGCATCGTGTATGTCTACATAATGCTGGAATGAAGAGTAAAAATTTAATAAGTAAATACAAAATCAGTGAATTCAATGATGAAAAAATCAGGGAAAAATGGCTATTCCATCATTAATGTAGACATTACCTAGATCTTAATTTTTAGGAAGTGGGAGGAAAGTATGAGCTCATCAATCTGTGCTGGATTTCCTAGGAACTAGTATTCATAACACTGGTCTTCATTTAGTCAACATGTTATGGTTTATAGCTAAAAAAAAAAAAGATTTCCTTAAATACTCATTATAATGTCCCCTCTCAACTTAGATACCAACTACACTACACTGGGATGCAACCAGCTGGATTAGACTTGAGAACCTAGTGATTATTTATGCATTCAAGATTCTAAAAACCAGTACGTGTATGTGTGTGTGTGTGTGTGTGGCTGTTTCTGCCTCCAATGATTTTTAGATGGTTCTTTGCTTGTTTCCTCTGTTGATTTCCTTGTTGATAGTGTTAGCATGATTTCTCACGAGATGATGCCAACTATTTCATTATTATTGAACAGACAGCATCAACCAAGTGAAGGAATGGAGATAAATTACCAGGCTTTGGTTAAAGCAGAAAGGGGTGTCCTGAAAGCTGTCCGGGAAACACAGTGGGACGCCTTGTGTGGAGCTGAGCGAGTGGTCCAGGAGCGACTCTGTTGGAAGGTAGGACTCGAAGACTTGGTCAAGGCAACTGGGGTTTTCTTCACAGGACACACAACTGGAAAACTGTCGGGGCTGAAAATAGTTGGGAGCAGGAGAAATATGCTCTGGTTCCAAATAGGGGGCTAGGAGAAAAGAAGAGACAAAGACTTAACATTTCAAGGTGACATTTGCAGATTCTGGTGGGGTTTGGCTGTGGGTTTGTAAAATTTACAGGTTGGGTCAACTGGGACTGAAAAACAGCAGACTGAGGAAGAGTCTCGTTGTTTTTGGCTGTTTTAATTGTCAGGGCACATCCCAGAAAGGTGTCAATCTAGAGAGGCAGCACTGTATAGTGGAAAGGATACAAAGTCCAAGTATCTGTGTTTGAATCTCAGCTCTGCCTCTTATTATTTGCATCAAATGAGACAATATTAAATGAGACTAGTAAAAAGCACTTAGCAATAGCTCCTGATGCACTATAAATGCTTATTCCCTGCCTTCCTTTTTCCCTCAGTTTCCTCCTCTGTAAAATCAAGGGGTTAGACAAGTTGACCTCTAAGGTCTAGCTCTGAATCTTTCATCCTATCATGGATTTGGCTGGAAAGTGAGTGGACACACCCAATCTGGTTGTGTCTTAAAGGAATAGCTTGAATTTCCCTTCCATTGTACCTTTGTAGAAACAACCTCACAGACCTAGTTACAGTGTATGTAGTTTTAGAACTCAGGCCAACTTCTGAAAATAACTTAGAGAATTGTCTGTGGTTTCAAAGAAAGTCTTAATGATAGAAAACAATGGGCAATGTTGCAGTTATTACCTTAGAACTTTTTTCATTCCTATTCACGATATGAAATATCAAGTGACTTCTATACTTACTCAAACATGAACCTGAAAACCTAAAGTGGTGTTAATTATATTAAGTCATTAAACATGAAAATGGAAATATTTTCTCAGGGAACACAGCATTCCTACAATTGTGTAATTAGAATAAGAATTGCTAACTTGACAAAATGCCAAGACTTTGTAAAGCTGTAAAAATTGCTGCATTTTTATCCCCAAATGGATTCATCAAATTATAATTATAAATCTTAAAATTCTCTGAAAAGAAAGGATTAGGCTGTCAATCAAACTGATCTCAAAACACAAGGTTTTTGTTTTTTTTTAAATTTTGAGATTTGTCAACATTATTTCATGTGATATTCAGACCCAGGAAATTATGAGCAGAGGTTCCTGCATATATGACCTACTTCAAATCTTAGATGTGGAGTGGAATAAGTAGGAGTGTTTATGTAATAGAGTTATTCGGATTGGACTGAGGAGACTTACAGTTCTTTGAACTCCATTCTGGAGAAGAGAGAGAGGGAGGGAGAGGGAGAAGTAGGAAGAGAGAGAGAGAAAGAGAGAGGGAGGAGGGAGGGAGGGAGGGAGAGGGAGAGAGAGAGAGAGAGAGTGCTCCTGTTGGCTAGAAACTGAAAAAGCATTATCCAAGAGCCTCAGGATGTCCTCTATTCACCTTAGTACACTGAAAAAGATAACAAGATTGAGAATACCAAAACAATGCTATACCTTAGCTAGCTTTAGTTACTCCTAGCTAAGGATCTGGAATAAATGGGGGAGAACAAAGTGTTTTTGAAGCAAAGCCTGAACTGTCCCCAAATGGGGACAAAAATATGTACTTGTTTGCTTGTAGCATGCTCACATGGATTCGTTGTGTCCTTTTCTAGTTCTGATTGGTTGAATTCCAGTTAAATGGCAGTGCCTACCTTCACCTCGAATCCAGCATTAAAAGACCTGTGAGGTGGACTCTGGAAATAGGCTGGGGAAAATGGGATGCTGTCTATACTGACCTGCAGAAGAAGGCGAAAGTGCTTCTGGAAACTGGACACTGCTGCTCTGGGACAACTGCCAAATCAAGAACAGAGTCATTAAGTAAAATGAAATAAATTGTTTTGATAAGGGGAAAGGTAAGTCATTAATAAGTGACAAAGTTTCCCCCTGCAATAAGGTAAGTCATGTTTTTTTCTTTCTAACTTTATAGTGGAGAATTAAGGACAATGATTGTTATTTGATTTAGTTTTCACTTTGCTGCTCTTAAGTTCTAATATTAGCCCATAATACTTCTGTTTGGGATATAGCTAATCACTAACTCTTTCTTTTAAGAGGAATGAAACAATTTAGGTTATGAGGACACAGTAACCAGGGAAAATCCAGAATAGAGTCTCCTACATTCAAGTGTTTAACTGAAAATGTTTCATGAACAGGATTCATTTATTTCAGAAAGTGGATGACTTATGAAATACTGATTTTCTTCCTTTTAAAGAATTTTCTTAAACTTAATGTATTATATGAATGCTTGAGAACTTTTAATGGGAGGAAAAAGAAAACTTTGGTAATTCTGTTATCTCTTAAAGAGTTAAAAAAATTCACACTTTTCTCTATTGATCTATCTCTTTATCCATTCACTCAAAAAGCATTTATTAAGTGCCTACAGTTCATAGGTCACAGTGCTAGGTTCTGGGGGAGATATCCATGAAAAGTCACAAAACTGCCGATTTTGATGAACTTAAAGCAATACTCAACTGAGGAGGCTGTTTAGAAGGTATGTAAGTGTTAATTAACTGGAGGGAAATGTGACAACTCTTGGTAGGTTCTGCTATTTTCTGTGAAAGCTGCGGCACCATCAAAATATTCTGTAGTCATTAGAATGTTCTTTCTAACTTATTTAAGGACAAATGAATTCAGAATTTTCCAGCTGGATTAGTAATTTAGTACTAATTCTCTTCTGGTTTCAGGTGATAGCTTTAAATTTTAAAGGGACCAGCAAAGTTTTGAGTTTCAGGAAGATATTCCAGGCGGCAGCCACTATAGAATACTCAGCCTCTAGGAAGGTTGTGCAATCGGTTGATGCTGAGAACAGGGGGTGGTACAAACTTTGAAAGTGATCCTTGTTGTAATGTCATGAACCAGGAAGCTGGAAAGATTTATCAGCTCTTTATGCAAATATTTGGCTGCTGCTAGAGGTCTCACAAGGAGTGAGTTTTTTAAAAAATCTCCTTCATTGTAGAGTTCTTATTAACCCCTTTCCTGCCCCTCTGATCACCCTGTTTGTTCACTTTCCTACATTTTTATCTCACTGAGGTCAGTTTATAGTATCCTATTTGATATTATCTTTCTCTTCATGGGTTTGCCTTCTCCTTTCCTCAGGAAAAAAAATTAAAGACAAAGACAGGCAACCCCTCTTTTTGCTTCCAAAAAAGACACCTGTGGCAAAGAAATCTAGAACTTAGCATTTGTAGGATGATAGGGGTGTAGATTTAGAGCTGGAAGACACCTTAGGAACAACTAGTTCAACCTCCTTATTTTACAGATAAGGAAACTGAGGCCCGAGGGTAAAAGACTTGCATAAGTTTATAAAACAAAAACCATCCCAAAAATTGAGCAGGAAGAAAATAGAAAGATAAAAGTACGTCTTTGGATAGATAACAACTAAAGGTTCCATTTACCCTATGGGTACCTGGAAAATCCTGGTGTGTGTGTGTGTGTGTGTGTGTGTGTGTGTGTACTTATAATACAACACAAATAGCTAACAACAAAATAAGATTGGGACATTCTATGTTGCTGTTCAGTTGTTTCAGTCCTGTCCAACTCCTGATCCCATTTGGAGTTTTCTTGGCAGACATACTGGAATAATTTGCCATCTCCTTCTCCAGCTCATTTTACAGATGAGGAAACTGAGGCAAACAGGGCTAAGTGACTTGCCAAGGGTCAAACAGTTATTAAGTGTTTGAACGCAGGAAGATTCATCTTCCTGACTCCAGGCCTGGTGCTCTATTCACTGTGCCATCTAGCTGCCCACGGGATGTTCTGTTGTATTTGATAAATGCACATTTAATTAGCTCCAAGTTCCGAGGAGGCATTCTGAAATAATTCAATGAAAATCGCTTCTATAAAACCACAGAGCCCTATCCTGATGGATCAAATGCTTAGTACTCTCTGACTTCTACCACCTGTACCACCCAACAGGTGCTTCTGATGGTGCTCCCCCCTCTTCCCCCACCTCCATGCCTCAGGTGGTGGATTTTTTCTATCTAGATTGTAGATGGAAGCAGTGTTTCTGCCCCATCACTGCAGGGGCATGTGCTGATGTCATCCTCCAGGGAGTAACCAGGGAGGAGTGTCTACTTTCCCCATACCTATAAGCACTTACTTGGAAGCACATCTATACCCTGGCAGAGTAGAGGACTAATAATAAACAGGTAGATAAGCTAAGCAGCTGGGGAGATGGGAGGATAAGTGATACATGAGCAACAGTGTAAAATTGGCTTCATGTACAGGTAAGACTTTTCATCCTCCCTTAAATGGGTAGGGATTGGGCAAGTCATTTTACCTCTTTTAACCTCAGTTTCCACATCTATAAAATGGGGATAATAATGATTACAAAAATCTCCCTCAGAGGATTTCTCTGGGAAAAGGGGTTGGTAAACTTTAAAGTGAGCAGCTAGGTGGTGAATCAGATAGAGTGCTGCACCTTAACTCAGAAAGACTCATCTTTCTGAGTTCAAATCCGGCCTCCAGACACTTACTAGCTACATGGTCCTGGACAAGTCATTGAACCATGTTTGCCTCAATTTCCTCATCTGTAAAATGAGCTGGAGAAGGAAATGGCAAACCACTCCAGCACTTCTGCCAAGAAAACCCCAAATAGAGTCACAGTCAGACATGATTGAACAACAATAAACTTTGAAGTGCTCTACAGTGTTATTTTTACTGAAGCAGGATAAGAATAGCTAGCCTTTATTTTGTACTTTAAGGTTTGTGAATCATTTTACAAATATATCATTTCATCTCACAGCAATCCTGGGAGGAAAGCGCTATTATTATCTACACTTTACATATAAGGAAACTGAGGCAGGCAGCAGTGAAATCACTTGCCCAGGGTCACACAACTAGTAAGCATCTGAGGCAGAATTTGAAGTCAGATCTCCATGGCTCCATTCTAGTGCTCTAGGTACTGTCTCACCTAGCTGCTTCTAATCTACAAACTCCCATGTACATTTGTACTTCATATGGGTCTGACAACAGAAGGCAAAAAAAACCCAACAACAGCTGTTCCACCTCTCTCAACACTGTTTGACCTTTATAATATAGTTATAGTGTTTGATGGGCCCTATTAATTAAATCCATGCAATAGTGGAAAGAATTTTTTTTTTTAAAGTTAGAAAACTTGCTTTCAAATCTCAGCTCCGCCACTGACTTCGCTCAAGTCACTTACATTCCCTGGGCTTCAGTTCCTCGTCCTGAGGTATTTGGACTAGTTGCCCTTCCATCTCCAAATCTATCACCCTATGAAATCTTCTAGATGTTTAGCAATGCTAGTCTAGGACTGCTGCTGCTAGTTCTTGGTTTCTCATAATCTCACTCTCCAAATCTTGGTTCTGCAGCATTCATCCACCTTCAAATTCCTGCCTATTTTATTAATTATTCTTGTACAACCATCTCTGAACTAGTAGTGACGTCATATATTAATGGCAACCAGGTATGCGTCCCAGACACCTCCCCAATACAGAAAAATTAGCAGACTCAGACCAGATGAAGTGACAGGTCAAAAAAGCCTCTAAGTAATATAGCAACAAGAACCCTGGTCTTAGAATCCAGTACATTAGTTCTGTGACCTTGAACAAGTCACTTAACCTTTATGAGCATCAGTTTCCTTGTCTGCAAAATGGGGATAATAATTTCTGCCCTGCCTACCTCATCTGGTTGTTGTAAGGGAAAATGCTTTAAAAAAAAAAAACAACTGTGAGCACTCTGCCAATGAAAGGTGTTATTATTGTGTTGGCTGAGGTCCTGCATACAGAGGCATTAGCTTCCCAGTGTTAGGTGTTGCCTTAAAACAAATTAAATAATTATACTTCAGCACAACATAGGAGCCTCTGTATTCTGGAAGCTCTCCAAGTATTTCCCTGGCACTCACTCTTACCTAAGCCTTGTACTCAGCGCTGTTCCAAAGGGCATTACTTACATGCTGTCTAGGTTCTCTTAGAATCACTTTCTGATAACTCCCAGCTTTAATTATTATTCACATTAGCCAATGTCTAGGAAGAGACAGACCAGGCTGTCCATGCCCCTGGACATTTAGAGAAAAACATCAACAATAACAACAAACCAGAAGAGTAGGCACAAAGCCCTTGCTGAGAAGAGCTCATAGGTCAGAGAAAGACTGGGGCCAATAGTCTAAGCTAACCACAGCCCAGGCAGTCAACTCCTCCCCCCTAAATACTACCCTCCCTCTCCATCCACACACATACACCACAAGCCACCGTTTGCCTATGCGGTTTCAGAAAAACCAAGTGGTCTCTTAGGGCTAATTTCCCACTGAGGTTTCTGTGTGCCATAGTTCTCTTCTATTCTAACTTTAACACTTTTATCAAGGCCCATCCTCATTTCCTAAGCAACTTAATTTTCAAAGTAAGTTGTGGATGTTTTGAGCTGCCTCCACTTAGCTCAGGAGATTTCTTCTTGTCCTGAGGGCTCAAGGACTGATAGTTCAGAGGTAAATGACCTCTAAGATCACATAGCAGAAGAATAAGAGGAGAGGGGAGCAAGCTTTACTGGTGAAGTACTATTTTTGAAGGATGGTTCTTGAATGAAGTGATGGTTAATAGAAAGAAGTCTGGGTTTGGAGACATGGGTGTGAATTTTAGATCTCTTATGTAATTTCCTTGACTTTGGGCAAGTCACTTCACTTTCTCTAGGCCAGTTACACAGTTTATGAATTTAGGGTAATAGTTTTAGAACTGGAAGAAACCTTAAAGATTATCTGATCTAACCCTTTCATTTTACAGAGAGAGAAACTGCAGAGAGATTAAGATGCTCAGAGTCACACAGTGATATAAAATGGGATTTGCACCCAAGTGGACTGACTTTAAATACCTACATTCTTTTCACTTATCCTGTTTCCTCTTTTGTACCTTGATACAGTAAAGGAACATTGAGTGATGCGGTGAAAATTGTGCTGGATTTGGAATCAGAGGACCTGGATTGGGATCTCAGGTCTGACACTTAAACCCTCTGTGACCAATGGACCTTAATTTCCTCCTCTGTGAAAATCTGAGGATTTTGGACTGGATGACTATTAAGATTCCATCCAGCTCCCGATTTATGATCCCTTGAACCTAGATGGTTTCTACACTCCCTTGTAGCTTTAAATCTAAATCGGTAAGTTTCTGGGAGAGACTTTTCTTGGCAACATTAGTTGGCCAAAGCCTGTGGCAGAGAATGAGCGTAGACTATCTTACAAACATCCTCACTCAAGGAGACTAACTTGGGTAAAGAACCTGGACTAACCCTAAAGCCTAGCAATAGTGGCTCAACTCCTGGAAAACAGGAATAACATTTCCTGCTGCTTTCTGTTGCCTCCTCATGGTGAACATGGCTGACAGCAGGGTGTGGGGCAGACCCAGCATGAGGAACAACAGCTAGGAACTCCGTATCCTTGTAGAAGGAAGGACAACAGGGGCCCCTGGGCTTGAGGATGCTCAGTCACTGGAACCTAGATGGGGCTAAATGACACAGTGCAGGTGTTGGGAGAGAGGCTGTTTCAAAGTAAAGTGAAGGATTTGTGCTTACGATTCCTCCTGACGCTGCTTGGTGTGCCCTCCTCTGCTGCAGCAGCTCCTTCACTGTGATCTTCACCCGGACCCCTTGATACACCTTCGGTTTTTCTGAGGGAAAGTTCATTAATCAGAGCCCAGGAAAGCCTCTCCGTGATTAAGGGTCAGATTTGGAGATGGGGGTAGAGAGGGAGGGAGAGTCTAAACTTGTTATCAGATGTCTAAAAAGTCTGAATGTTTAGAGAATTTTCCGCAAGGCCACAGGTAAAGGGTTAAAGGTTAAATGGTGCTCTTAGGCTAGATAGGTGAAAGGGAGAGTAGTTTTTGCAACTAGAGCCATTGTGATCAGGTAGGTCACAGTAGAATCAAACCAAACAGAAGCTGGTGGGTCTCTTCAGCCATCCCCTCCCCCCCTCCAATTAACTCTCTAACCAACCACATTTTCTGTACAAGGAGGGTTTGGTCTCACCATGGACCCTACTAAAGCCTTTCAGAACTGAAGTCCTAGAGTTCACTCTCTTGTTCTCTTTCTCCCTGGGGAATATAGACTAATCTAGAGGAGAGGAACCTAGTACCTGTGCAGATGAGGTTGACCTTTGACCTCACCCTAGAGTGATGCTCCTATTTTGTATCATACCCTGGAGTCCACTACTGCCCCTGGGGGCTAGGCATAGTCTAGGCTGCCTCCAACCTCTCTGTCCATTCTGTCCTAGGCTGTTTGTGGTGAGCCAGCCGTAGGGCAGAGCAACACTCAGGTGGGGTTAGATCAGCCCTGCCCTCAGGCCGGCTAGGGAACTGGACAGACGGACACGGGCACACACACACACACACGGACACACACACACACACACACACACACACACACACACACACACACACA